AAAAAAACCCTCCCCCAACATTGCTGAAAGAATTAAGGAATATCTAAATAAATATAAAAGTATCCCATGTTCATGGATCAGAAGACTTAACATGGTAACAATTCTCAAGATCATCCAGCCCAATTCCTATCAGAATCCCAAGTAACTTAATAAAAACACCTCCCAATTTCAGTATTTACTACACAGTAACAGCAATCAAGAAATAGTGTGTTACTGGCAGAAGGATCAATATAAATGGAATAAAAGTGAAACTCCGGCAGTACATCCACACATCTATGGTCAACTGATATTTGACAAGGATGTCAAGACCATTCAAAGGTGGGAGACAGAACAGTCTTTTCAACAAATGGTGCTGGGATCAATGGATAGCCACATGCAAAATAAAGTTGACACTTCACACCATGCTATAGTTTGAATGTCCCCTCCTAAACTCATGTTGAAATGTAACTGCATTGCAACAGTATTAAGAGGTAGGACCTTTAAGAGGCATTTAGACCATGAGGTCTTCACTATCATTAATACTGTTAACATAGGATAGTTTAGATTCTGCAGGGTGGGCCCCTGATAAAAGAATAAGTATGGCCTCATTTTCCTTATCTCGTGCATGCTATCTCACTGTGTGATGCCTTCTGCTGTAGGATGACCCTCACCAGATGCTGGTGCATGCTCTTGGACTTCCCAACCTCCAGAACCATGAACCACATAAAGTTCTGTTCTTTATAAATTACTCACTTTGCAGTATTTTTTTATAGCAGCATGATATAATCTGGTATTTGTCCCCTTTCAAATCTCATGTTGAATTGTAATCCCCAGTGCTGGAGGGCCTGGTGGGAGGTGTTTGGATCATGGGGATGGACCCCTCATGATTTGGTGCTGTCTTTGAGACAGTGCGTTCTCCCAAGATTTGGTCATTTAAAAGTGTGTGGCATCCCCCACTCTACATACTCTCTTGCTCCTGTTGCACCATGTGACATTCCTGTTCTCCCTTTGCCCTCTACCACAACTGGGAGCCTCCTGAGGCCTCCCCAGAAGCAGATACCACTATGTATCCTGTACAGCCTGCAGAACCACATGCCAATTAAACCTCTTTTCTTATAAATTACCCTGCACACACATACACACACACACCCCTTTGCAGCAAGATGAATGGAACTAGATATTGCATTATCCTAAGTGAAATAACTCAGAAACTGAAAATCAAATACCACATGTTCTCAGTTATAAATGAGGGATAAAAAATGGATGGGTACACATGGACATAAAGATGGAAGTAACAGACAGTGGGGATTCCAAAAGGGGGGAGGGTGGGAGACAAGGGTTGAAAAACTACCACTGGGTACTATGTTCATTATGTGGGTAATAGGTTCATTAGAAGCCCAAACCTCAGCATTATACAATATACCCATGTAACAAACCTGCACCTAATGTACTCCCTGAATCGTAAAAAAGACCTTCTTCCAAAAGACATGAAAATGGCCAACGTGAAAAACGCTGAAAACCATTAATTATCAGGGAAATAACAAAAAGCACAATGAGAAATCACTTTATACCCACTAACATGGCTAAAATAAAACTCAGATTATAAATGTTATCGAGGATGTAGAGAGATCTGAAACCTTACACACTGCTGGTATAACAGTCTAGCAGTTCTTCAAATGACTAAACATAGTTACCACAGACCCAGCAATTCCACTCCTAGGTTTAAAGCCAAGAAAAAAAAATGAAAACATACGTTTATACTTGCACAGGAATATTTATAGCAGCATTATTCATGTATTAGTCCATTTTGCATTGCTATAAAAGGATATCTGAGACAGTAATTTTTAAAGTTGATTTGGCTCACAGTTCTGCAGGCTGTACAAGCATGGTACCGACATCTGCTTGGCTCCTGGGGAGGCCTCAGGAAGCTTTTACTCATGACAGGTGAACAGGGAGCAGGCATGTCACGTGATGAGAGAGGGCAGAAGAGAGAGCAGGAGCTGCCAGTCTCTCTTAAACAATCAGCTTTCAAGTGAACTAAAATAGAGCAAGAGCTCACTCATAACAAGGATGGCACCAAGGCATTTATGAGAAATCTGTTCCCATAACCCAAACACTTCCTAACAGGCCCCATTCTCCAACATTGGTGATCCTACTTCATGAGATTTGGAGGGAACAAAGTATCCAAACTGTATCAATTCATATTAGCCAGAAGGTGGAAACAATCCACATGTCCGTCAGTGGATGAATGGATGAACAAAATGTGGCATGAACATATGATGGAATATTATTCAGCCAAAAAAGGGAATACTGATAACATGCTACAACATGAATGAAGCATGAAAACATGCTAAGTAAATGAAGCAGATGTTGGTACCATGCTTGTACAGCTGCAGAACTGTGAGCCAAAAAAACTTATAAAATACCAAAATACCACATCTTGTATGACTGAATCATTCATATGAAGGTCAGAAGAGGGAAATCTATCTACAGAGAAAAATCAGTGGCTGCTTACGGTGGGGGTTGGGGGGAAATAGGGAGGTACTAACTGTAGGTACCTAAACCTCATAAACTAACAAAAACTGTAGTTTATGAGGTTTACAAAATGTTCAAATTGATTGTGGTGATGGTTGCACATATCTGCAAAGATATTAAAAACCACTGAATTATACATTTTTGTTTTTGAGATGGGGTCCTCGCTCTGTTGCCCAGGCTAGATTACAGTGGTGCGATCATGGCTCACTGCAGCCTGGACTTCCTAGGTTCAGGTGATCCTCCGCCGTCAGTCTCTTGGGTAGCTGGGATGACGGGTGCATGCCACCACAGCTAGTTTTTATATTTCAAAAAATAGAGACACGGTTTTGCCTGTTGCCCAGGGTGATCTTGAATTCTGGAGCTCAAGATCTGGGGGTCTTGACCTTCCAAAGTGCTGGGATTACAGGGATGAGACACCACACCGGCCAAATTATACATTTTAAATGGGTGAAGTATATGGCACGTAAATTTTATTTTAATAAAGTGGTCAAAAGTAACAAAAGGCATATGGATTTGAAATAATGAGGTAAGAGAGTCTTGCTGTGTAACCCAGGCTGGAGTGAAGTGGCGCAATCTCAGCTCACTGCAACCTCCACCTCCTGGGTTCAAGCAATTCTCCTGCCTCAGCCTCCCGAGTAGCTGGAATTACTGGCATGTGCCACCACCCCCAGCTAAACTTTATATTTTTAGTAAAGATGAGATTATGCCATGTTGGTCAAGTTGGTCTCGAACTACCAACCATGCCAGCCTGTAGTTTTTGTTACTATGTAAATCGGCCAAGCATGGTCACTCAGGCCTGTAATTGCAGGACTTTGGGAGGACAAAGGGGGGCAGATCATCTGAGGTCAGGAGTCCAATTCCAACCTGGCCAAGATGATGAATCCCTGTCTGTACTAAAAATACAAAAATTAGCCAGGTGTGGTGGCAGGTGCCTGCAATCCCAGCTACTAGGGAGGTTGAGGCAGGAGAATCACTTGAACCTGGGAAGCAGAGGTTGCAGTGAGCTGAGACCGCACTATTGCACTCCAGCTCTGGCAATAGGAATGAAACTCCATCTCAAAAACAAAAACAAAACTACAAAAACATTGATAAAAGCAAAGACCTAAATAAACAGATATCCAGTCATTCCTTGGTATCCACCCATGCTCCAGTCCCTATTAGAAAATGGCATAGGATTTCCATATAATCTATGCACATTCTCGTGTATCCTTTAAAACGTCTCTGGACTACTTAGAATACCTAGCACAATACAAAAGCTGTGTCAATAATTACATGTTATTTACATTTGTATTCTTGATTTTTTGCTTTTGCAATCTGGGGTTGGTTGAACCCTTGAATACAGATGGCTATTGTTTCCACCGAGAGATTCCACACAGTAAAGATGTCATGTTTCCCTAAGCTGATCTATAGGTTTAATGTAACTCCTATCGAAACCTCAGTAAGACTTTTTTTTTTTTTTTTACATAGACGAGCTTTTTCAAAAATTTACATGAACAGGAAAAGGAAGAACAGCTAAAACAATTCTGAAAAATAAAGCAGGAGAACCCATCACTCTACCCAATAAGGCCTGCTTTACAGCTACAGTAATCAAGAATGTGATATTGGCAGACAGATAATATAGATCAACAGTACAGAACAGAAAATGCAGAAACAGACCCATACAAATATGCCCAACTGACTTTTTACAGACATGCAAAAATAAAGTCAATGGGAGAGGATGGCCTTACAACAAATGGTTCTGGAGCAACTGACGTCGAGGCAAAACCAAAAATATGTCTTACAAAGCCCTCTCAAGACTGATAAAAGAGAAAATGCAATTACAACACAGGCAAAAGGCATGAGAAGACATTTCACCAAAGAGAATAGATGGCAAACAAATGTCTATTTACCAACTTATCAGAAAGAGATGAAAGATGGTAGTTTAGAAAAACACACATTCCATGTGACCTGGCAGCTGCACTCCTGGGCATCTTTACCTCAGAGAAATGAAAACTTACACAAATATCTAGACACAGATTTTCTGGTTACTTTATCAGTAATAGTGAAAACCTGGAAACCCCCCAGATATCTCCCCTGGGTTAAGGGAGGATACGGATGTTACAGCCACATCACAGAATAAAGCACAACACAGATGAACTACTGATACATGTAGTAATTTGAGAATTCAAATTTTCAGAGAATTATGCCAAGTCAAGAAATACAATTCCAGAAGTCCACATCCTGATTTTTATGTGACATTCTTAGAATGACCAAAGACTTGCAGCTGCTGGTGAAGGATGAGGAGGGGGTGAGTATAAAGGGCAGTGTGAGGGCCCTTTGGAGATGGAAATGCTTTCTGCTTGACCTGTGCTCATGTCAGTATCTGGGTGTGACCTTGCACCCTACTCTGCCATGGAGGGAATCACACAGTATTTCTTACAACTGCATAGGAACGTGTAATTATGTCAAAATAAAAAGGCAGGAGCCCTGAGGATGAGCTTTTATTTCCTTGGTTAGATACATACCAGGCTCTCCTGAACTGGCTCCTTCAGCTCCTCGGTCTCACCCCTGCAGGTGCTGTGCATCCCCCTCTAAGACCTAAGTTGCTGCCACACCCTGAGCACTTGTCCTGGCTGTCTCTTATCCTTGGGACGTTCTTCCTCGATTCAGAAGTCACCTCTGGCAGCTCTTTCCCCTCCCACTGGGCGAGGGACCACTCCTGTGGTAGCCCTCGAGCCTGTGCAAACGACAGGGACCATGCTCACCCGTGCCTGATGGTGCCCAATGCAGCCGGGACAAAGCTACCTGAATGCTTGGGTGAGTGGCCAAGCGTCAGACAGAGCAGTAACTTGTTCTTTTTGAGTAAACAGCCTAGGATGGGGAGCCTGCATTGCTGAGGGCAGCAGGCTTCTCCACTCTCAGCTCCACCCCACTGTCCCGCTCTCCATTCTGCATGGCTGGAGGTGACTCACAGTCCCAGCTGCTGTTTAGTCAGGTCCTGCCAAAGGGTGTCTCTAAGCAGAGGCTGGAAGGTAGAAAGCCTGTTGCCTCCCAGCATCTGGTGATCCCTGCAGCAGTAGGAAGGCCGTCAGAGCCCTGTGTGGGCAGCCAGTTCCTGTGATGACAGCACAAGACTCTGGTCAGGGTGGGGAAGACTGCGATGGAGTCTGGCTCTTGGCATTGTGGTGTCAGCCAAGTGGGATCTACTCTCCCAAGTGCTTTACATCACCTGTCACCACATTCTGCCAGGGTGCCTTTCACTCACCTAAGCGTGAGACTACAGACGGGAGAAAGCCTCCCAGGTTGGCTGTGGTTCAGTAGTCACAGGTCCATCAGAATCCCCAGCCATGCACTGAAGCTCCTCTTCCCTGGAGGTTCAGAATTCCAGGACTCCACCTCTCTGCTGGGGCTGACCCAGATCCCTACCCAAGAGGCTGGTACATATGTGCATATGTGAATATGCACACGTGATGAGAAGCTGGGAGAGAAAGGCAGGTGACGACCCAGGTTTGTCCCTAAAGCAGCCCTCGTGGGCTGTGCGTGGTAGAGGAGTGCAGACAGACAAGTGCTGACAGTGTGGAGGGTGACAAAGCCTGGGAAGGACCCCGGGGTCCAACACCAAAATTAAAAATTTATTACACACAAGAGGATGCTCTGTCCCTTAGAGCTGCTGGCTGCCCTCCCCACTCTGGCTAAGGTCCTGCACAGAGGTTTGTCCTCAAGGGTGACACTTCTTGCCCGCTCACAGCTAGACCTCCAGCAGAGTCAGCCCCCAGACATGCAGTCCAAAGCACCAGCACAGGTCACTTGGCCAGCTCCTCAGACATAGCTTTGCGTATCTTGTCCTTGAGGTAGGCACCTTTTTGCCACTCAGACTTGAGTTCCAGCCACTCATAGAATGGGACCTAGAGGGAGGCAGGGGAGAGACAGGTCATGTGGGTAAGGAGATCCCTTCCAGTCAGTGGCTCTGCCTGCTTGCCTGCTGCCCTCACATTGGCCCCTCACCCCACACCTCTGGTGACCAACAGCTCTGCACACCTGCCCCTTGGCCTCCAAGTCCTCAAGGCAGAGCTCATGAACCGAAGACAGTACGGGTGGGGACAGGCCCTCGCACTGTCCGTGCTGGAGGGGGTCTGTAAACCACTCAGAGGCCCAAGAAGGGCTTCTGAATTTTAAATAGTGGATAAAAAACTCACAACAACCCAAAGAAGAAAACTTGATGGAACCCTTCTGTGGCTCATGAAGCCACACATTCATTCACTGGCCCTTCCCAGGGAAGCTGGCCCGCTTTGGTCTTAGCCAAGGTCTCCCAGGCGTGAGACCAGAGTCAGGCCCAGGACCTGTGTCTTTCTGCTCCTGCCAGTCCCACTGATCCTACTTTTCCCGAGAACAGGCCCTGACCAAGGAGGCAGAGCAGCTGCACTCAGAATATCAACAGCTGTGCAGCCTCCTGAGCTTTGAGCTGCTCATCTATGAATGGGCCCTACCCTGCCCACCTCCTAGGCTGAATGAGGAGGCTTGGAGGCTTTTCTGGGTTCACCCATGGGGTGAGATGCTGGGAAGGTTTGAGGGGAGGCTGCAGCAGCTAGGATCCACAGTGAACTCCCTCCCTGGGCTCCTAGGAGAGGCCTGGGGCCATGGGCGGGGGAATGTGTCTATACCCGCTGGCTCTAGGCTGGTTTTGCTTCCACCTGATCCCCTCTCCAGCATGGGTGGGGGATCCTCCCTGTGCAGCGACCACCTGCCCAAGAGGTACTCACATCCACTATCAGGAAGCCTGCAGCCAGTATGTGTCGCCGGGCCAGGACAAAGCGACCCAGTAAGTCCTTGCTTCGGTTGTTGAAGTTGGGGAACTCCCACCGCAGGAAAGCTAGCCTGGAAGGAAGAAGGGGTGGCTGACAAGCTTCCACTCTCCCAGCCCCTCGGAGGGGAAAGAGGGAAAGCAAAGAATACACAGTCCAACAGCAACGGTGCCCCCATGACGTCCACTAGGGCCATGGCCAACAGGTCCCTGGCCACCTACCTCTTAGCCCCTGGAGGTGGTGGCTGGCTCCCAATTGGCTGGGCAAGGTGAGGTGCCACAAAGTCCCTTAAGGGCAGAAACTGGCCGTCACTGTCCAGCAGCACCTCAGCATCTGGGGAAGGGGTGTGGGATGAGAACACGTTGGGGGACATTCCTCAGAAACCCCCCACAGGAAGGATGAACAAAGGTGGGGTTGTGGGGGCCCAGGCTGACACCCTGCAGCTCTCTGGGTCTGTTCTTGCTGCAGAGGGGGGGGCGGGTTAGAACAGCCCTATTAGACTCAGCCAGTGCCAGGCCCTCTGTCAACCAGGGGGAGCCCTCACCCAGCACCCAGCCGTATTGCGTGGCCACCTCGAGGCTGCCCCTGTCGGTGCTCCCCAGCAGCCCCTTCAGTGTCTCCTGCAGCTCCTTTTGCAGGGGGGTCACCTTCCTGTCAAGGGCCGACAGCCTAGGTGCCACAGCTGAGGCTGGCAGAAGGGGACCCGAGTACTCGGGGTGCTCCAGCAGGGCAGTGGCATTAATGTGCAGCAGCTTCTGGAAGATGTTCTGATCCTTCTGAGACTCGCCCCCTAGGGGACAAGGAGAAAGAAGAGGGAAGGTGGGCCTAGGGCCAGGAGGAACAGAGATGGAGAGACTCTGGATGGGAGGGCAGTGGCACCCCGACACACAGTCCCAGCCCAGTTCTCTGGGTCAGGAGGCAGCAGAGTTACGGTCTGCTGGCCACCCACAGGCAGGGGATAGGGAGCAAGGGCGATGGAGAACCCTGGCCTCCCTCTGCCCCAAATTCTTACCCGGCACTAGGGAGACAAGACCAGGCAGTTTCCCAGTTTCAGTAGTACTAGGGGCGGGGGGCTCACCTAGAAATTGGGTGTGAAATTTAGGGTGAAGGACGGTTTGCAGCTCTGCCTCCTGTGCCTGCTGCAGCACACACAGGGCCCACACCAGGTCCACCTGCAAGGCTGGCTCCAGGCCTGCCAGCTCTGACCCCAGCTTCTCGTGTACCTGGGCAAGGATAGGGTGCGGTGGAGAAAGCAGGCTCTGCTTAGGGGCTGCAAATAGCCACAGGTGAGCCATAGTCCATGATGAGGTCTTGACCTGGTTGGGATGAGGCCAGAGGAGGCTACTGGGAAACAAGAGGCAGAACCCTGGTCCTTGCTGAGGCCTGGAACAATCCTGGACTTGAAGGTACCAGGAATCTTCCTCATGCCCCAAGACCACTCTGGACAGCAGGAAGAGTGCTGCCACATGCTGGCATTTGATTAGGTTTACTATAAACAACCCACTGGCAGGAAAAAAAAATCCCTTCTCCCATAATGTCTCCAAGTGGGCACGGGACAAGGGAAGAGGTGTTTCTGGTCCTCTGAGAGGATGAGAGCATCCAAGAGGTGAAGAAGCCCTCCCAGCTCCTGGCTGGTTTTTCTCAGGACTGTGGAGGCAAACCCCTAATGGAATCCAGGGGTCACATCCGGCCTGCTGGCCTCTGTGGCCTGTCCTGAGGTTTTCATATAGGGGGCTCCCCCTCCCACCCTGAGCTGGGGCACAAAGCAGGAATACCCACTGGAACTTCTGAGCAACAACAGGGCATTAAAAGGAGCAACAGAGGCAGGACCCCCCCAGCACTGCCTGGCAGGGGAGTTAACCAGACAGTAGGATTTCATGTTTGTCCTCAGTGATCCCTCAGACACCTGACTCCAGTCATCTACCTCTCTCTGCCCTCCCTGCCATGCAAAGCAGCCCCTTCCCCTCTACCCAGCCCGAGCTGATCCTGAGCCATTAGCTGGTAGGGGAGGGTACGGGTCAAGCAATGGGAGCCCAGAGGCTGTACCAGGCTGAAGAACTGATCCTCTTGGTCTGGATGGAAGTTCAGACGCGCAAAAGCCAGGAGCATGCTGCACAGGTGGGGCAGGGGGATGTCCTGTGCTCTGTTCAGGAAGTGCTGGGTGGGTCAGAGATAGCAGAGGGACAGGATAAGCTCTCTGCCTGTCTTCCCGCCCAGCTCTGAGTCTGAGGGGAGCCTGCATGGCCAGGGGCAATGGCAGGACCCTCCATCCAGGCCCCAGGAGCTGTGCCAACCACACAGGGGAACTTACACAGGCCCAGACCCCCCTTCGTCCAATAGCAACTACACACAGAGGCTGGGGATACCTAGAAACTGCTTCTTTCTGATAAGGGCTTTAGAAATACTCCCCAGCCAGTAAACTTAGTTTAGACTGGTCACACATAAACCTAAGTGCAGGTATCATCTTTCTTTAGAGTTCTACTTCGGTGGGGCGGGGTCAGTGATTCAGGTGACAGTTCTGAGTGGATTCTTAGCCTCACTGGCCATGCTGCTGCCTGCTACAGCTACCCCAACACGGATGGAAGCACTTATGATGGTCAGTGAAAGAACAGAGGAAACAGTTCTCAAACGCTTTTTTGAGAATTGAACAGCAGCTCTTTAAAAACAAGCCAAAATGCAAGAAACATTTTGCCCCAAGTGAGCATTTTCAGACTGGCTTTGCTTTCCTGACTAAAGCAATGGTTCTCAGCAGATGTCCAGGAAGCCAGCTCCTCTCAGTTGAGGCCAGGCCCTGGACCCTGGAGTTAGACCTGGCTCACCTGGGCAAAGGCCTCAAACAGGGGCAGGTTGAGCCACTTGAGTAAGGCGAAGGACTTGGCACAGCGGGCCACCTCACCGGAAGTCAGGTTGGGTGCGAGGGACAGCAGGTCGGCGGCCAGGCGCTGGCACACCTGGGTCTGGTGAAAGTTGAGTTTGCCTTCGGGACAGAGCCGATCACAGGATTTAGCTGGGGAGGGTCAGCAATCACCCGCCAGCCCACCCCACCTCAGCCTCAAGGTCTAGATGCTTGGTGTCTGTAACCAAATTTATCCCTGAGCCTGAGACACAGGAACAGGGCCCATGAGTCACAGTGTTTTTGTGGCAGCCTTCTGGGCCAGTGCCTACCACATGAAGGAAAGGCACTGAATTTGACACGGCTGCAGGCATCTGCAGGGCCAGAGCTCCCCTTTCTCCACTGTTCTGTCCAAAGGCTCACCATAGGCGTAGGCCAGGTCCAGGAGCACACCTTTCGTCAGATGGAAGGGCTTCTGCACCAGGTGGTAGGAGACGGCCCGCAGCAAGGGCACGGACCGCCGACTCTGAGCTGCCAGCACCACCAGCACCTTCCGCAGCTCGTCGGGGCCAAACTGCTCCACTAACTCCAGGCACTGTCAACCACAGCCGCGCAGAGGTCAGCTCAATGGCCTGAGGTGGCGGGGACGAGCTGGGGGCAGGGGTCCCATGGTCCCATCCAGTGCAGCCCCTGTGAGACAGCAACTGGGCCTGAGCTGACTAAATAGGCCCTCCTTATCCACCCCAGGAACCCTTGGACCTGCAACAGTGTCCACAGCCAAACTTATCCCCAGGTCCCAGAGTGGGTGACCCAGGGCCCATGAGCTGTGGAGCTTGCTGTGGCAGCCATCTGGGCCAGCCCCCGCTGTGACAGGAACGGGCACTGAATCTGACTTGACTGCAGGGCCACAGCTGGTAGGGGTTAACACATCTCTAGGAGAGTTCTAGTCAGAAGCCAGGCCTGGGCAGTGCCTGTGTTACTTGAGGAGCTGCCTGCCGTGTCCCCAACTCAAGATCATGAGATGGGGTTTGGGGGAAAGATAAAGGTGCAATCAGGAAATTGCTTGTGTTGGGAGGAGTGAGTGGTGCTTGATGAATGCAGCCACAGGGCAACCTTCTGTTGCAGCTCCAAGCCCTCTGGTCCTGCACCATGTAAAGCCTGAGGCTTCAGAGAGAAGCTCCCCGGGCTCTGATCCCAGTGCATGCAACACACCCCTCTGCAGATGACTGTCACCTAAAGAACAAGCCCAAAGCCCAGGAGAGGCAGGCTGGGTGCCACCTGCTTTCAGGCTCAGTACCTTGTCTTCCAGGCGGTTCATCAGTGACTCCGAGAGGTGTCCCACCTTCATCATGATGGTCACTAATGTGCGGCCATCTTCAATTTCTGTCCAGCGCCTTTCCAGGTGCATGAGCAGCTCAGCAAGCAGCTCCTTGGAGTGCTGCTTCTGTGAGAGAGTGGCACAGGAGTCTGCCAGAAGGGCCAGGTGCTTGTACTTGAGCCTCCGCATGCGCCAGCGGACCTCCTGCTCCACTGACTGCAGCTCCTTGGAGGTCTCGGGGAGGCCCAGAGCATAGAGGCTCCGCAGCAGCCTCGGGAGGGTACCATGCCAGACAGAGGATATCTAGGCAGGGAAAGGACACAGGAGAAGTGACGTGGTACTATAAATCCTGTGTGTGAGCTGGAGGCTGCTCTTTGAACCTCATTTCATGGGCGTTTACTATAACTCTTCAGAGAAGATAGTATCAGTTTCCCACTCTGTTCAAACAGAGTGGGAAAACAGCCCGGGTGCCTGGCTGCCCCTCACAGCCTTGCTCAGCCTGAGGCTTTGGTGCTTGGTGTCTGTAACCAAATTTATCCCTGAGCCTGGGACACAGGAACAGGGCCCATGAGTTACAGTGTTTCTGTGGCAGCCTTCTGGGCCAGTGCCTACCATGGGCAGGGCAGGCAATGAATCTGACACGGCTGCCAAGCACCTGCACAGCCAGAGCTCCCCTCAGGCACAGGCCACATCCAAGGGCACAACTCTGAGCCCGATCCTCTCAGCTCCAACAAATAGCACATTTCTGCTCAAGGTAGCCGAGGTCATTTGCAATTGCTAACAAGCCAGAACTGAGTGGCAAGAAAAAGTCTCCAAATTTCTCCCAATGAAGCTTTGACCTCATGTAGCTGATTAAAGAGAGACCACACTCTTTTATATGGTCCTGGCTACAGTTCTGTGTGGTGGGCACGCAGACTTGAGCTGCAAGTACAGCTGTCAAGTCAATGGAAGAGGTCAGAGAAAAAGTGGAGCCTGAAGGATGTGACTTGATGGCAGAGAAGGTGGCACTTAGGCTTGCTAAGATCAGTTCTGTTACCATTCATGACTTCTACTTGCAATGACATTGTAAGTTTTAAGTATTAAAAACACTGGCTTAAGCCAAACAGATCATCTGAGGTCAGGAGTTCGAGACCAGCCTGGCTAACACAGTGAAACTCCGTCTCTACTAAAAATACAAGAAATTAGCCGGGCGTGGTGGTACATGCCTGTAGTCCCAGCTACTTGGGAGGCTGAGGCAGGAGAATCGCTTGAATCTGGGAGTCGGAGGTTGCAGTGAGCCAAGATTACACCACTGCACTCCAGCCTGGGCGACAGAGTGAGACTCCATCTCAAAAAACAAACAAACAAACAAACAAAATTAGCCAGGTGTGGTGGCACACACCTGCAGTCCCAGCTACTCGGGAGGCTGAGGTGAGATGACTTGAACCTGGAAGGTAGAGGCTGCAGTGAGCCGAGATCGTGCCACTGCACTCCAGTCTAGGTGACAGAGTGGGACTCTATCTCAAACAAAACAAAACAAAAACAAAGAAAACAAAAAGACAAACACTGGCTTTCCTCCAGTAAAATAATTTATTTTTGAGTCAGAGAAGCTCCAGCCCTTAAACTTTTCTCCAACAAACCAACCTCGCAGTTTCTGGCAATGTGAAGTTTCTTAGGAATGCAACTGCTGCAAAAGCAGAAGTCCCTGCAGAGCAGGCGCAGGGCTTGAGTGAGCCACCACCTTTACCCTCCAGGTACGTGGCACCCAAGCACGCCAGCCCCTCAATTGCCTGCAAAGGGAGGAGCACCCCGGGAACAAAGGTCTGCAGGAAAGCCTTTGACATACGGGCAAAAAGAACCGTGGTATCACTAAGCCCTGCCTGCTCCCAAAAGCAGAGGCCTCCTGAGGATGACCAAGCTGCTGCTGCCAACAGCAGTGCCTCTGAACAGGCTCTTACTAAATGCCAGGCATCCTTCTGTGTGCATACCCCTATGAGACACCAACATCCTGTGAGAATCATCAGCCCCACTGCACAGGTAAACAAAGGTGAACTTATTTCTACAAAGTCTGACAGTAGTTCTGGGTCTGGAACCTGCACCAGAGCCTGCCCTCTCTGCTGGTGCCTGCTTTGTTTCTGAAGAGGGTAACTGCTGTTCACAGACTGTTGACATTGCGGAATGTCAACATGGGTGGCTCTAGAGCCCTTTGGCCCCAACTCCACTGTCAAAGAAGAGAGCAGATGGTAAAACAAGTATGGCTCTGTCCTTTCTTCCGCCAAGTCTCTCAACACTGACCTCTCAGGCTCAGTCTCTTTATCTGTTAATGAGAAGCAGAAACCACACCTACAACGAGGTGAGCTAGGAACAGAGAAGCTGCTCTCTGAAGAGCTGGGGAAGAGGGAGAAAGTACTGGGGCAAATTCCAATCTCACAGAAGGTATGGGTGTCTACCTTTTGGTTTCATGGACAGCAGGAAAATCTTTGAAAAGAAAGCTGTTATCACATTGCAGACACTTGCCTTATAATTTTGTTACAAGGTTCGGTCTTGTATCAAAAGACTTGCTTAAACCATGTGTAAGAGTCAATAAACAACAATTAGAATTATAGCCAAATAAAAAGGGGGTCCTAATTAAGTTCATTTTAGGAATTATATCCTCAGCAAGAAATGAACATGTACTGTGACCCCAGTACACACAACACATGCAAATATATACATACTTAACTAAAACCAAAGTTCCATGAGACATTGATTCCCCTTACTATGTGTGCTGAATTCTAACATTTTTCTATACTACTTTAACTCATTAAGACACAGCTGGCCACAACCCACTACACTGATTATAACCTGCAGCTTGAAAAACACTCATTTAGTGCAACTCTTTCCTTGGTTAGTGCCTTTCTCTTTGTCACACCTGACAACTGGAAACGGTTTCAGTGCCCGAGCACCTCCCTTCCAAGGCAGACCAAGGAGGGCCAGTTCAGTCACAGCAGGAGTCCGTGCTTTTTTCCTGTACGTGGAGCCTAGGGAAGATTCTCTAAGACGGGAGTCCCTCACAGTGAGCAGAAACTGGCTTCTGTAGTCTGAGTTCTCCCCTGCTCAGTGCCACACAAATAGGTCTTGTTTCCTCTCTCCCTGGTCATCCTTGGAGGGTCTGAACATGACTACATCATGCCCACGGCTGTCTCAAGTTTCAGGGACCTTCCATCAATCATGCTGCATCTCCTTTGGCTTCAAGAGCAGTGACCTGCTGTCAGCCAGGGCAATACAAGTCAAGACTGTATGGTGAGGGGAAAAGCACCCAAAGAACTGAGAAGAACCAGCCTCGCCTCTTTTGTTTCTATTACTAAGCGTCTTGGTTGTCTGTCTGTAAGAGGACACACAACCAAGGATATTGCCCAGCAATATTTACCTAACAGGTCTCTTGTAAGGATAAACAAAGAGAAACCACAATAAAGCACTTTGAAATTTATAAAAAAATAAAAAATATCACAAGACATGCAAGGCCCCTGTCCATGCTTAGTAAGCACTGGCTGCTGTGGACGCCAGCATCTCTGGCTGTGTTCCTCTTGCCCATGCTCTCAGACAACACAGTGCCACCCACCTGACTGTTGAGCAGACGGAGAAGCTGCTGAAAGCGGGCATCCTGTATGAGCGAGGCCTTGTCTTCTGGCTTCTCGAACAGCAATTGAGAGAGCCGGATAAATATGAGGGCCGCCTGATTGTTGTTCAAGTGGTGACCAGCATCAAGGAGCTCCAGGAGCTCCTCTGGCCTTTTGGCCTTCTTGATGAGCTGGTCTATATGGTTCTCTGGGTAGAGAGTAAACACTTTTTCACTGTCCACCAGCTTCATCATGGAACTTGAGAAGTGGGAACTGGGTGAGGTGGCTGAGGAAGTCAGAGTCTTATGAGCTACCCTGGCAAGTCTCAGTTGGCCAATTGGAGCCATGGCAGGGGCCAGACGAGCAGCTTCTCTCAGGAGGCATGTGCATTGCTTTACCAGGTGAGCCGCCATGATGTCCTGAGTGGCAAAGAGACAAGACTCTTAGCAAGTGATTCCAAACCCTGAAGAGGAAAAGGAGAGAGGAGGGGCTACTACAGGGGCACTTCCTGATTTACAAACCTGACTAATGAAATGGAGTCAGAGCCACTCTATCTGTAAAATCAGCCTTTCTTTTCTGACAATCCATAGGTATGTGATAGTATTTTCTGAAGGAAAAAATCTCACAGGATTTTTGTTTCAGTACAGAATGCCATCAAATATCAAAACTAAGGAGCATTACAGCCTGGGTGGGGGGGTTTTCATCCTGCTTTTAATTTGAAATCACCTAGGATGTGGTTCAACAATTCAGATTCCCAGGTCCTGTCCAAGGCCTCCTAAATGGGCATGTCTGCACACCGGGCCCAGACAGCATTAATTTTTTTTTTTTTTTTTTTTTATTTCAAGGGTAACCAGAATTAAGAATTACGGGCTTGGCCAGGCACAGTGGCTCACGCCTGTAATCCCAGCACTTTGGGAGGCCGAGGTGGGTGGATCATTTGAGGACAGTCAGGAGTTCAAGACCAGCCTGGCCAACATGGTGAAACCCCATCTCTACTAAAAATACAAAAATTAGCTGAGCATCATGGTGCATGCCTGTAATTCTAACTACTTGGGAAGCTAAGGCACGAGAATTGCTTGAATCTGAGAGGTGGAGGTTGTGGTGAGCCGAGATTGCACCACTGCACTCTAGCCTGGGTGAGGGAGCGAGACTTCATATCAAAAAAAAAGAAAAGAAAAGAAAAAAGAATGCCTATCAGAGATAGACTGCATAAAGAAAATGTAGCACATATACACCATGGAATACTGTGCAGCCATAAAAAAAGGATGAGTTCATGTCCTTTGCAGGGACATGGATGAACCTGGAAACCATCATTCTCAACAAACTGACACAAGAACAGAAAACCAAACATCGCAAGTTCTCAATGAACAATGAGTGTTGAACAATGAGAACACATGGACACAGGGAGGGGAACATCACACAATGGGGCCTGTTGGCGGGTGGGGAGCTGGGGAGGGATAGGAGGGAGTGAGGAGATTGCGGAGGGATAACATTAGGAGAAATACCTAATGTAGGTAATGGGGGGATGGAGGCAGCAAATCACCATGGCATGTGTATACCTATGTAACAATCACGCAAGATCTGCACCTGTACCCCAGAACTTAAGGTAAAATTTAAAAAGAAAAGAAAAGAAAAAGAAGTACTGGCTTAAAGAGACAGTGGGGGCACATCTAAAGGCCGAGCAGCCCCGTCGCTAGGATGCTGAGTGGAAGCCGAAGCCATACCTCTCGCATGGCCCCTCTGGCTACCCGGGCCCCTCAGATGAGAGCTGCGCCCAGGCCAGCACCAGCTGCTTAGCCACCAGCAGCGGCACCCCCCTCTGCAGTTGGCTCTCCTGCTGGTGCGCCCCGCCAGCCAGGTCTGCTGTCCCAGATGGCAACCACTGCAGCTGGCGTGGCTGTGGGCTCTGCTGTGGGGCACACACTGGGCCACGCCATCACTGGGGGCTTCAGTGGAGGAAGTGATCCTGAGCCTGCGAGGCCTGACATCACTTACCAGGAGCCTCCGGGACAGCACAGCAGCAGCAGCCTTGCTTCTATGAGATCAAACAGTTCTTGGAGTGTGCCCAGAACCAGGGTGACATCAAGCTCTGTGAGGGTTTCAGTGAGGTGCTGAAACAGTGCCGACTTGCAAATGGATTGGCCTAATCAAGAAGTTCAAACTGGAGAAATGGAAAACCAGCTCTCATAACTAAGTTAACTTAATAAAAAAATTTAATTAATAGTGAAGGTGTAAAGTGTAGCCATCAGTTAAACCTCTCCTGGCATTTCTAGCTTCCTTGCTTCAGAATTGAAATGGAAGGGGGTGTTCCCACTCTGTAGAATTTGGAGCTGGTCAGATGTTTGCGTGGCCTCCTTAAACTAGCTGTTAGGATTTTATACTTTGTGAGTTAATTAGAATAAAGTGATTTTCTTCCAAGATGTGAAAAAAAAAAAAAAAGAGATAATGGGACAGGATACTTTAAATCAGAATGATCCTGGAAAATCCATAACACAGAATTCACATTCCCAAAGCCTCTCTGGATATTGGAACACTGCAGACATAGGCGTGAGCCTCTTGAAACCAAGACAGATGACATCAGTAAACTATTAAAACTCCCCCACCAAATTTCTAACAGCAAAAATTCCAAACCATTAAGAAGCACTTCATAACATGGCCCAGAATAATTTTCTCAGTCTTAGCCTTGTCTGCCTCCCCACAACACAAGGCCCCATTTTAAATAGGCCTAGCACTTCCACTCCACCCTACAGGGCTTGTTATCCGGGTCTCCTCCTCCCCCTATAAGGCCCTTTAAAACACATCTCATCTTTCCAAGGCTAAACACAATGTTGCCATCTCCACTAATTCGTCACATATCACCTTAATGCTGCTTTTAACAATTCTATCAGCTAGTCTAGCTCCTTAAGGTGATTAAATGACCCAAGGGCAAGCTAAAACGTTCACCTGGGCCTCATTTCTGCCAAAGCAGAAAGTACGTTTGATCTTTCTCCACTTCCTGAAACTTGGTATATGGACAGCATTTTATTTTTATATGAGGGAATTACTGCAGCTGTAAAAAGCTTAGTCTATCTCCACATAAAGGGGGGGGGGAAGAGGGCTCAGAGAGGAGGAATATTTGCCCAAACGCAACATCTACCACTTCCTGAGTCTAAGCACAGTGGAGAAACCTTTTCGACTTATTTTATTTTTTGAGACAGTCTCTCTCGCTCAGGCTGGAATGCAATAGCGCGATCTGGGCTTACTGAAACCTCCGCCTCCCGTATTCAAGCGTTTCTCCTGCCTCAGTCTTCCAAGTAGCTGGGATTACAGGCGCGCGCCGCCAAGGTTGGCTAATTCTTGCATTTTTAGTAGAGACGGAGTTTCACCATGTTGGCCAGGCTGGTCTTGAACTCCTGACACCTCAGGTGATCCACTCGCCTCGGCCTCCCAAAGAGCTGGATTACAGGCGCAAGCCACCGCTCCCGGCCTCCTTTCCAATTATTAAGAGCGCCCCGAGGGTAGTTTAGCGGAGTAAACGGAAGCCCAGAAGCCGGGCGGGGGTTTAGGCAAACAACAATCCAAAACCTTGGTTCTAAACTGCAGAGAGATAATAGCTTGCACTAAGTCACAAAAACTGGCTCGCTGAGGTCATGAACGGTCAACAAGGGTGGTGTCTTCCAGGCCGGGACGCCAGGATTACATGAGAAGAGGGGAAGTCCGTGAGGACCGGCAGGCCAGCACGGACGAGCGACCACCACATCCCACCGCATCCCAGGACCCCTGACACCTTCCCAACCACGCCTGTGTGCCTCGAAACCCACGCTCAGCCGCCCCTTCTTCCCGTGCCACAAGACCTACGCCGTAGGCACCACCGCTGACCTCCATCCGCCGCCCGCACTGTCCCCGGAAACACGCGGTGCGGCGCGGCGCGGCGCGGCGCGCTTCTCTACGTCACTCTGAGCGCCGGCGGAAACGAGAGGAGCCTCGCACCGCCCGACCGGAAGCCACGCCTCACGCTTCCGGCCGCCTCTTTCGGCGGGTGCCGACTTTGCTGGGGGCGCACGTGGCGCGGTGAATGATGGGAAACTTCTAAGGTAAAGAACCTAGGAAGGAAGGCTTTGATTGTTGTCCTGCCAGTAGTACCCCATCCTCATCCGGAGTGTGGGAGACGACCCTTTGTTATCGGTGCTGTCCCCCCATTCCTCCCGGCTTGCGTAGACGTAGGAGAGCTTCTAGGGTAGTGAAAGACTGGGCTGGTGGGGTGGGGATAGGCGACATTGGGGCCTGTGGGGGCTGGGAGGGCAAGTGAGTGGAGACTGGAGGACTCCAGAGGGCCCATTTGCAGCTCCAGCTGAAGCTCTTCTTGAGGAAATGCAGGCAGTTTGTCTAGACCTAGGACTTTTTTTTAAAATCCGTTCTAGAATTCTGGATTTTTATGTGCAGTTTTCCTGATTTTCAGTAGTGATGTTTAATTACAAAATAATTAAAGTGCGGGATAGCCAAAACAGAATGTATCTGGGGTCTATATTATGGACTTGATTAATTTTACTTCCAGCACAGCTTATTTTCTGTGGAGTTAATAATAACTTTGGCTGGTTACTGTGGCACACGCTTGTAATCCCAGGCCTAGGCAGGCGAATCACTTGAGGTCAGGAGTTCGGGACCAGCCTGGCCAGCATGGTGACACAACGTCTCTACTGTGCAGTGAGCAGAGATCTTGCCACTGCACTCCAGCCTGGGTGACAGAGCAAGACTCTGTCTCAAAAAATAAATAAATGAATAAATACTTTGGTTTGTGTTTGTAAACTAAAAATAAAATTTTAAGCCCCCAACCTCTGAATGGACCGCCTGTTGGCCGAGGAGACCTCAGAGAAACCTCAAAAACTGAGTTCCCAGCCATTCTGGAAAGGAGGTTGAACACCCTTTCTTATAGCTTCTCCTTTTTGGCATTTGGACAACTGACTGGCATTAATGTTAAAATAGAGATCATAAGACTGAGAAAACAGACTTTGTGGAAGTAAGATATCAAATTATGAACAAGACTTGAGGCCATGCAAGGCAAATGTTAAGTCAAGCTTGCAGACCATCAATCTTGCTGAACAGGTCTTTTTTTGACCCATTGTATTGCTCTGCTGACTCCAAGTTTTAGACAGAGCCTCCCTCTTTTAACCAATTATAAATTAAAGAATCCCTTAGTCAAGCTGGCTGAGGTGGGAGGATCACTTGAGGCCAAGAGTTCAAGACTAGCCTGGGCAACGTAGGGAGACCCTATCTATCCCTA